CAATGCATGAGATCAGGTGTTTCGTGGAGCAAAAGTAAGCTTTGATGAACATTGAAACAATATTGAGATAAATCTCTTGGTTTTGGTTTTAAGTGAGTTAGGGTTTTCTTACACCTAATGACATGAATACTGACATGAATCCTTTAAGAAATTGTGTTAATGCTAGGGCGTCCCCTGGAAGCGACGCGCTGTATGGCCTGAATACAGTGACAAGTGTGCAAGGGCCGCTGCACCGGCGCCCGGGTGCAGTGTTAAATTGGCAAGGGTTCCCACATCAAGGACGGATGTGGGCAAAGAAGCTAGTCCATGAAACCAAAGCACATTTTCTTCTATAATATACAAGTTGAAAGAGCTAATATGGTGTAATTACGTTTGAAATATCAATTTGACAAATCTTCTATTTATCCTATCATTTTTTGTCTAGTTATGCCCCAGGTGAAATTGGCCTAGACCAGCTTGATGTGGGACTTTAGTTAGAGAATTTGACTGATAAGAGTTAGATTTTTTTGAAGCTTGAATTAAGTCAACTTTAGGACTGTTGCTATTCATCAAGTCTGAATTACCTGAATCTATTGAATTTTAATCGACTGATTAGCTAATATGGTATTAAAAATTAATTACGACTGATTAGCTAATATGGTATTAAAAATTAATTAAATTGGACCCATATATTTATAGTTGTATATTCCTAGAAAATTTGGTAAATGCTCAATGGTACCTTCTTGTCAAACCATAACTATGGCCCAACCTGTAATTAAAATTTCTCTGTGCTTAACCATGTGGTGTAAGATACAAAATCGTTTTCCCTGTGCATGTAAGAGATGAACTTATTGGTGAGGCTTTTTCAAGTGTTAACTCCCACCCCCCCACTACAACTTGACCTCTGTCTCAAACTTTTTTCATCATTTGTATATTCCAGGAGTTCTCTCTCAAAATCTTTATCATCAATGTCTACCGTCTTGTAGGGTGAGGAAGGGTTAGTGAGGAGTATTAGCCAAGGGTGAGTGAGTACTAATCTAAGCAAATTGCCAAAGACTCACTATTCTTAAATTTCTTTTTGCTACAAATTTTGTCTTGAACCCCAACTATTTCCATGTTATTCTTTCCTTTTTCATTGTAGGGCTTCATTCTGTAGTTCATTGGTGTCAGTTTTTTTTTTTATGTTTCCATATCCCAAAACCATTCCCTAAGTTCAGGTGATAAGTTTCTGTTATTTGCATTATTGGTACTCTCTGTGCGGCCATGTTCATAGCCACCTTCAACCAAAATGTTATTCAGGTGCTAAATTTCTTAGTAGCGCTTTTATGCATTGTACGCTACATATGTTTATATGAACAATAGTAGGGGGGGGGGCGCAGATGCAGGAGAGGGGGGACGAGGAGAGGAAAGAGGGGACAAGGGGTGTTGGGGTCTAAATGTTATAAAGAAAAATCAAATAAGAAGCTTCCCTTTTGGTCAATTCAGCTGGCATGGTTAAACTGGCTTCTTGATGGTGTTAGGATGGGTGTCTAGACGAATGCCAATAAAGTTGTCTATTTTTTGGCCCCCAACAACAATAATGTCATCTAGTCAATAGATGACAAATAATTTATTTTTTCTAAAGGGCAAATTTAAAAAAGGAGCATTATATAAAATTTTATAAGAAAAAAATATAATTAGAAGATAATTTTAAAAGGAGCTTACATATTAAAATATTTTGCTTTTTAATGAAAAAAGAAAAAATATTTTGCATTTTAATCATTTTCTTAAGAAATTGTTAAATATATTTTAAATAAAATGCAAAATATTTGTGTTTTCTTAAGAAAATAAAAAAATATATATTGTATTTTCTTAAAATGAGCTTCCTGTCAAAAATAAATATGTAACAAATAATATTTTCTAAAATAAATATGTAACAAATTTTTGGCAAAAATACCCAATTTAAGAAAATGCAAAATATCTTAACAGAATGCAAAAATGTGTTACGTTTTCTTAAGAAAACGATGAAACACAATATTTTTTGCATCTTTCATAAAAATGCAAAGTATTTAAGTTCTTTTTAAAATTTTCTCCTAGTTACTTTTTTGCTTATATTATTTTAACCCATGCTCTTTTTTAAAGTTTGTCCTTTTTTTGAACTTTCCTGAGAACAACAATGTATGTTTTGGTTTAGTTGTACAATTAAAGTCAATAACGCAAATGTAAGGCAATATAGGGCATAGAGTTATAAATATGGGTAGTCATGTGTAATGTGTTCCTTATATTATACTATTCAAAGCAATGTTAATGTTGATGGTGATAATGGATCAACGGTCATGAAAATCATTCGGATAGTTACATAATTCACAAATACTATAATAACATCAAGCATTTATCTCATTGTGAGGTCAACTACATAAATCATTTTTCTTAATTGTGTTCTGGTAAGAGTCAAATTCTCATTTAATTCTAATAAAAAAAGTTAATTGATAATACTTTTTAATACTTTCCAACTAAGGCCATTTCCTTAAATAATTCACAAATAGAAAAAGGAAAAAATGCTCTTTAGTAATCATGTCAAATTTAATTAGGAAATGTTCAAGGCAGGATTTTTTTAATCTAGTTATTCATTGAGTATGATTCTAGTTGTACTTTTCAAATGTGTCATTTTCAAGTTGGAGTCAAGCTTGATGCAAAAATAAACCAAGACCCCTGCTTATAATTATGGATGTAATTAAGATGGATTCAAAGTTTTTTCCTCAACATTTTTAGTCAAAGATCATATTCTTTTTTTATGTTGCATGTTATTTATTTTTATCAAATGTTTGAATATGCTTTTAGTTGAGCAATGCTCAAGATTTGAGTATCACATACTACTGAGAAAGATTGCTCTAAGATGACTATTTTTCTTTTACATAATCCACTTTATCTAGTTAATTTTCTGCAAATCAATTGGGATTACATAAATGTCGATAAGGCGTTACATGTTAACTTCTACTTAGGATTGTTAAAATCTTGCACTCAGCATCATATATGTATTTCTAAGTGCAAATATATCTGTGCTTTTATAGCTTATGAATGGGCATCCAAAGTTAATTTTGTGTTATGGTGGAGAATATTGCAATAGAGCTCATTGACATTATGCCAAATGAAGGCAGATTTTTTTTTTTCTTCATTTTTTCAGGAAGGCAATTTTTTCTTATTTAAGAATAGAAAATTTGACTTTATATGTCGCATAATAAGAAAAATTGGAGAAATATGGTCATAGTTTATTTTCACAAAGAAATATACCCAAAAGATTGTTCAAATAAAGATATCATTGTATTAAAACCATGAAGCATTGATTGTCCGTTGCAACCAACATTTGTTTGAATAAGATTAGAATTAAATTTGATCAAGTTTTGTTCATACCACAAAGTAGTAAAGTTTATGACCAATTATGAATCCTATGGTTTGAATATTTAATCAAATCTTACTCAACAATGATTGAAGTTTATTCGATCAATGTTTAAAATTTATTCGAAATTATGTTGAATATGTTTCAGACATGGATCAATTATGGTTTTAATTTGATTCAAATATGCCTCAAAGAAAATTCGAGCATTATTGGAGTAAGGTTCCATCACCTACAACAATGGGTGGAACTGCTATTTATGCTTAGTGTAAAACAAAAGTGTTACAGAACAAAGAGCTATCACAATATCTATGTTTGAATAGTTATGACAAAAAACTATAACACATGGTATGACACATTTTCATGACCAATGAATGTTACTGTAACAAAAAAATAAAGTATAAATTATTTTGAAGTATGTGGTTGCACTTCGTCTCAAAGGTAGCTCAATTATGGCCTTTAAGTCCACATCAGTTGCACTTGTGTTGCATCGTATCGTATCTATCTATGCTTTTGAAGGCCTTTTATTTTTCTACAAACAGGCACTCTTTGGCTTCACCAATTGGGATATCATGACAACTCATGTCATTTCATTCGAAACATTTCATGTGTCCTCATTTTTTACTGGACATATATATTCTTAGCATAAGAAACTAAACAAGATTATTCTGTATAAAATATTTGAGATTACGATATATAATTGACACTTTAATCTTGAGTTGTAATTAATACATTTTCATATGAGAGACCCATAACATCAAACTTTCTACATGTACATGTCATCTCTTGCAAATTAATGCCATCATTGACGTCACCGTTTAGGACATGCAATTTAAACTGACTATTGGGGTAGACAATCAAGCTTCAAGCCTTAGCAACTTCTCCATTGCCACTTCAAATTCTTTTGCTAAAATAGTTTTTCTATTTGCTACAATAGTGCATTTATCGAGAATCATTTCTTCATTGTGTACCTCAAAAAATTTAATAAGTTGTCCTTCAATAAGAGCATGTGGTCTTTGTGGTATAATTGAAGCTCTATGAAATATCGGCTGTCATCAAGTTATATTGATTTTTAGGGAAGAAAGCATGAGCCCGCTGGTTAAAGCAAACTTCATTCTCTAAATATGAAGCTATTAGTGGGCTTTTGATATGAATTTTGTCGAAGTTTATGTAGAACTCAACTCTTCTATAAGTTTAAGAAGCCTAGTAATATTCCTCTTGCTAATTATTTATTTTAAATTTTGTTGTAATATTTATTATCACATGATGAGTGCAAGCTCTATGATATGCCTCAAAAAATAGTGGATAAAGCATTGACAATGATGTTTTTTTCTATCAAATTGAACTTATCCTATGTGTCTATTGCATATCTTAGTTTGTTGATGAAAAATAGCCAATACTTAATTATTTTCTCAATCAACTACTGCAAATGCTACACAGTAAATTTGAGTATTAGAATCTTGCGCAACCATCACAGTCAAAGTGCCTTCACATCATATGTCTTGAGACGTTCCATCCACACTTAACAATGTGCGACATGTCGTCTTGACGCCTTGAACGGAAACATCCAAAGCAAAGTATATGTATTTGAAACATCCTTCTTGCCAAGCCGCATATTAACTAATGCCTCTTAATTTTTTCTATGTAGGATGTACAAATAAGATTGTAATTTTTGAAATGATGCTTCAGGTGAGACCCTCTTACATATATAATAGCTTGCTCACAACACCGACAAACCTTTTCACAAGACAAATTTGTGCCATCGTTTCTCTCCACATTAGATAGTTTTTGGCTTTGACTTAGGATCAGATCCCATAAACTTCTCCATAATTATGTATCTAATGAGCTATGGTTGAGCTGTCAGTGATATTTTATTCTAATTTCCAAAATGCAAGTGTGTTTTGATTTGTGGCATGGAATCTCTAACATATTTGACTTTGCCGACTTCTTGGCTCATAAGCTCAATGAGCATGTTTATGAAGTACAATGGATATATAATTCATCTGCCTAATTTCTTCACCTTTAATTGAAAGTTCTTTTTCATTGCATATAGATGTTTATCCCATTTTTACTTGTAAAAATTTATCCAATCATTAAATCAATTGAAAACAAATTTGAACATACGACTATTATATCAATAGCCATTGTATTTAAGTCGCTTTCAGGAAATTACTCTTCCTATGTGGAAGATATATGTGTTTTTTATATCTCATATTGTTTCTCGTATCCCCAAGGTGAATAAAGAATTAAAAGATCTCATTGGTTTACTAGTTTCAAGTTATCACAAAGTAGGATTGTACTTTCTAATGAAATTTTAGTATGGTGCAAGCTACTATTTTTCACTGCTTATATGTCCACTGCAACATCTGCTTTTACATGTGATACATTCAAAGCATTACCTATATTTGTATGTGTTATGTTCACATCATCATTTATAAGAGGGAAGGATGGTAAATTGACAGATCTTGTATCATCCAAATATGCACGAATATTTTTAGTTGTTTTTTTTTTTTTTGGAGTAATATGGAGATTGATGTTAAATGGATATAATACAATCTTGACTGCAAGATTCTAATCTATTAGTAGCATAGTTGCAACAACAACAACAACAACAACATCAAGCCTTTATCCCACTACGTGGGGTCGGTTGGTCAAACCACCTTGTGTTTGAACACAAGTAATAGCATAGTTGGAATGAAAATAATTGATTGTGTTCTACCAAAGTGATACATTCGAGTTTTAGACTAAGGCTTTGTTTTGGACGGTTTTCTTACTGTTTCTTAAAGCAGCTTTTTAATACAAAAAAATAAAAATTTTGTATTAGAAAGCTATTTTAAGAAGCAATAAGAAAGTCATCTCAAACAAAGCCTAAATTGATTTTGATCAATCTCTATAACTTTGCATGTAAGATGTATGAAATCTTCAAAGAAAATACTTCTCTGTACAATCAATTATTTACTTTTTTTTCTTAATAAATATTGAATTAACTTGTATGCCTTCTTTACATTCTCCTCTATACAATACAAGAGTGTTGATCTTTGTTTCACTTTTAAAAAATAATTGGTTAGAATGAAATGACACGACCGTAAAAACATGTGTACGAACCATGTTAGAACATTGTTCCAACAATGTTTGAATTTTATTCAAACATACTTTGAATGGTTTGAAGTATGTTTAAACATAAATCAAACATTTGTTTAGAAGATGTTCAATTCATGTTGTTCGATCATGGCTTGAAGCATGTTTGAAGTGGAGATATAAGAATTGGGGGTATTTTGATTCTAACTGAACTTTCAGGCGTATTTTCTTCAAGAAAACAAACAGCAAGCATATTAAATCAAATTATTACTTGATTTGATTCGTTTGGAGGAAATGAACATTTCTACTTTAGATTGCCCATTAGTTTGTGAATGAGAAAAGGCTCGAAATAGTCCCTTGACTGTTGATAAATATTCAAACCAGTCTCAGAGTTTTATATTGCCCCCATTTGGTCCCTCAATTATTAAAATTTGTCCAATTTTGTCCCTGCATTAGATTTCCTGTTTAAATTAATTGGAAAAAGCTGAAAAGTTTCGTGTATTTGTGGTCATTTTTTGTAAAACTACTTGTTACCTGCTCACTCTCCTTCTCCCTATAAGCGCTGGAAACTGAATTGTGCGAGTTAGAAGCTGCGAACTAGGCGACACGAGCAAGGTGATGTGTTGCGAATAGAGCGTGAGCGAGATGCACTGTGGCGTTATTTGATTCACCTTCCAGATTTGCGTGCAGCTGCGAGATAGATGACACACCGAGAGCAGGATATCTAGATGCCTGCTGCGACCGCGAGCAATCATAATGAGCTTTGACATCATGAGATGAAGACGGTAAGTAATGTGCAACATTCATAAGGAGACGGGGTTATGTTTGCTATTTATATTTTAATATCAAATTAGATGGAACTGTATTGCTTTCTTTCACGCGGAAGTGTTCGTTCATTCACTTCATAAATTTTGAAATCATCTGAATTTTGAAATGGATGGCAATTTTGAAATATTCCCTGATCGATGTTGTTGACATAAATCTTCTTTTCAAGGTGTAATGGGTTGGGATACATCGTTTATAGTTTAGTTGTTGCTGTAATTGTTAATTGGGCCAATGTTGCTTCCTTAACCATGATGCTCGTCGTGGTTTTGCTTCTTTGATTTTATTTCTTCGTAGAGAAAATCAATGTCCTGTTTTTGTATTCCTAAGCTTTTAGCAACTACATATTGACACATTTTTGGTGGAATTACTATTGCCTGAGTTCGAACTTTTGTAGGAGGGCAGGTATTGGAGCAGTGGTTAAGAGCACATTAATAATAAAATAAAATTGGAATTTCTTACAAATAGATGCTCTCATCATATCCTAGGAAGACATTTATAAGCTGTATGTTAAATTGATCATTTGATGTCTAACCAACTAATACTCTTCATTTTATTTTTATTTATTAGGCCCATTTGATTGTAGAGAGAATTGAGAAATAACAATTGAACCACCAATTTTTTCTAATAATAATGTGGAATTCTCTGGTATTTATTCTATTTTCTATTTTGATTAATTCTGTTTGGTATAATAATACAATTGAAATCAATGGTGATCAATGAAGTGGAAATCTTATTCAATAGCAAAGAAGAATTTAAAGAGTCTGCCTAGAATTGATCTATTGTTAGTGAAAAAGCAATAAAATTATGAACTTCTTTTTTTTTCCAAGTTCTTAACTTATGACAAAATTTGCACAGTTATTTGTAGGAGGCTTATTGTGAACAAAATTAGAATTAATGCACAATTGCAAGACAATTTTTTTCGAAGAGAGGTTATTGATGAGTTGAAGTTGCATCTGTCAAAGTCACAAGAAAGGAAGGCTATTGTTTGGAAATCATAAGAACAAATTAAGGTGAAATAATATCTCTGTTAATCGCAAGGGATATAAGGTCATAAAATATTTTTTAGAATGTATGCTTGTTTTGATGTTTGTTAACAAGGCATCCTTATATGTTGCAAGCCAATTATTGGAGTTAAGCGGGGCCACCTATCAAAGATTGAGAAAAAATGCAAATGAGGAAGTAGAGAACTCACGAAGAAAAAACTTAAGTATGTTAATTGTAGCCCTCCATTGTACTAAATATAAACAGAGCGATCACAATAGAAGTTGTGACAAGAAAAAAGAAAAAAAAAATAAAGAAACTCTTACTACTCAAACACTTCAAGTGGAGGTTGATTTACAATACAACGTAATAACATAGGAGGATTTGCATCTTGAGGATTTGAATTCTAACAATATGAATGATTTTGTAATTGAAGCAATTACATATTTACGTTTGATTTAAATTATTAGAAAATGAACTAACATTTTTTTAAAAAAAATGTTTATTCGCTCCAGTTGACATATTTAGATCGAAATTGTAGCTCACAGACAAGACCAATGCTGAATGTGTGCGCACAAGGATCATCAAACAAATGGTTGGTGGTAAGTTAACAATCAAATTTTAATAAATACTCATGCAATTCTTTTTTAATAGCTATTAATTTGGCATTATATTTGTCAATATGTCTATGCATTCAAAAGAAAGAAAATAGGGTAGATGAGCTTGAAGGATAATATACAAAGTGAAGTTTTTTGTATTAGCTTATATTTATACATTTTGAAAGACATCAAGGGACTTATTTTATAACATGAATTTTTTTTTTCAGTTTTATGCTGAATTATACTATTTTTGTAAACGACTTTTGAGTTCCAATCTTCTAATTACAACTTTTGAGTTGATTTTGATAATGAGTGTTTTTTATGTATTATCGTTGCTACTTCAAATTTTTTCAATTCTCAAAGTAGCGTTTGTTCTGCATTTTCAATTTATTTGAGATTATTTCAACTTTATAATGAATGTTTGATTATATTGTGTTATATTTTTTTTATTACATCTATAATTTAGTTGATATTTCAAAAATGTTAAATGGAACATTCAATATTTTTTAGATTAAAAAATAAAACAACATAAGCAATGTAAGTGTAGTAGTTTAAAAATTATTAAAATACATTTCATTTTATATTAAAATATGGTAAAGAGAACAATTTTAGATTTTGCTTTAAAAAATATATTTTTTTTCACTATTTATTCACCCTTTATTATGTAGTTACTTAAATATGTACTATAATTTATTGAATGATGAAATCGAGCAATATAAGTAATATAATCTCATATCTATTAGTAATATTTAAAATATCTTTTATATTTAACTCTAAATAATTTTATTTTTTATTTTATGCTATAGGATTAAAATGACTCAATTTTTAATAGTTGATGGACTAAATTGTGGCAATGCAAAACTATATAATTAAATTGGATATTTATCAATAGTCGGACTATTTTGAGCAATTACATATTTGTTAGTAAGCCATATAATTTAACTATAAATCATAATTTAGCAATATAAAGTTCATAAGCTTTTTTTTTTTAAGTAATCTTCCAGTATAAAAGTAAAATGCTTTTATGGATTTTTCATTTTTGCTTGTATATCTTATCACTTAATGTAACTTTCCAGAAAAATGCTTTTATGGATTTTTCATTTTTGCTTGTATATCTTATCACTTATATAATTATTTATTTAATATTAAAAATTTAATTAATATTATAACATTTTGTTATATTATATGTAATTCATGGTATCTTTCTTTTGGTCATCGTATTAAGGTTTCATTTAGATTAGGAATGTCAACAATTGACACGACTCAAAAATTTGATTAGGGTCAACCCATTTTAAGAACAAGTTGGATTTGAGTCCTAATTTTTGACTCGTTTTGAATTTTGGGTCGGTTCGGGTTAATCTAAAAACTCAATTTTAACCCATTTGCGAACCAGCCAACGGCCAAACCCTGCAGACCCGCAAGCGGCCATATCCCACAGACCCACTAGATCACTCCCTTGCGACTCTCGCATCGGCCTCACATGTTCGCTGCACCGTTGTTTACTCGTCACAACAACAAATGCTTATCA